AGCCTTCACCACACCAGTTGTTCCCCAACATCGATCATAGTACCATCTTCGGACTCGTCCACCTGGTTGAAATGGTGGTAGGCAGGAACTGCAAGGAATTCGCACGAATTCTAAACATACTATACGCTTCCAATGGTCTACCAACCTTTAATGTTCCTGAGGAACTCTTCACAACTACAGCTCCAGCCACTGCCATCGCTACGTCTGCACTGGCAGACGTAGCGGTGGCAGTGGCTGCACTGGCAGATCTCCTGTCTACTGACGCCCACCCTCTGCAACAGCTCCATTACCTCTGCAAACTGCCACTCCAGACCAATCACCTATTACTCTAATTATACTGGCGACTACATCACCTGCATCGGCACCAATATCAGTTGCTCCTGCAGACCTCCATCTGTCTTCTGATTCTACTGCCTCTGTTGACATTGAAACACTCACCACCCCAGACTCGTAAGATACCATGATTGATTCTCCAGCAGTTGTGGGAACCGACCTGTGAGATTTATATTTATTTAATTTATATGAATTTATATTTACGTTAATTTATATACTTCGATAGCAATTTGTATAATGATAAGTGGACTGTATTTCTGCAATAATCTTATAATCTCACAAATCGATCCTCTACACATTAGGGGGGGTTTATTAAATTAATATATATGCAGCCAATCAAACTACAGTAATAGCTACATACATTGAAAAGGTTCCTTATCTTATAGTACAGCAGGTTAGTCCACCAGGTATAACTAGGGTGTAGACACCAAATTATCCTCTTTGAGGCAGCTTCCATCACCCAGTAACTGGTGCACAAAATCTTGCATCCTCGTCTTGACCTGTCAAAAGTGCGCTAGCTGTGAAGCCAGATACCTATATATGACAAGTATATCAGAGAAAACACTATACAGTACATGGAACATGAAGACCTGGCTTAATTACCTTTAGTTTGAGGCGATTTCGCGATCTAACCGGGTCACCCTATATCCGGACATTAATGGCCATAAATGAATGATAAACGGGTTTCGGATAGACACTTAACTTGAATTGTAGACATCGTGTTGGAGATGGTACCTTTGGTTTCCATAACACTACGTCCAAGTAAAATTAACAGGAGCCGTATTTGCTCCCGTGTGAGCCTCTGGTCTCAATAAACAACAATGGCTGTTTAACACTCCATACTATTGACGTTACTGGCCGACATTGTCCAGAATGATAGGAGCCGAATTTGCTCCACACGTCTCGGAGGTGACACAACAATGGCCGCCCTCCTCCTCACTCTGACGCCTGGCCTACTTTGTCCAGATTTCAGAAAGTGATAGAAGGGTCACATTTACTCTACTTTAATATTGATAATTAAGTTAATTTATATAAGATGTTTTTATGATGGTAAAGTCCAAAGACTAATGTATTTAAGAATAATTCCCAGCAGAATAGCTGGTGAATTATAATAGTATGTGGTGATGATATCCCGTTTTCTTTAGACGGTAATTCCACTACAAGTTACGTTTTCTATGGGTAACTTGTTGGTAATACAGCTATTATCTGTATGATTATTAAATGGTGTCGGATTTTCCGACAGCAGTAACTGAAATATATTAACAACGTGACAACACTGCATTTGGATCTCCCGAATTCAGCATTTGGATCTCCTGAATTCAGCCGGCTCACCAGCCGTTTAATTAACACGAGGTATGAAGAACACTTAGAGTAATTTAGGAGCTAATGTGAAGTAAATAGTTGACGACGACTCGATCTTCTCGGTATGCGATAAATCCACATTGGCAGCCGAACTTTTCCCCAGGACTACGCTTGAATACAAGAATAAACATCAAATAACACGAAGAAAGAAGAAATAGGTGAAAGACACCACCATAAGGCACTGTCACCATCTGGAATGAAGCACCGCCACTGCCACTCTTCCTGACCCTTGAAGCCTCGCCAGTTGCGGGGTTGTTTCAGCATAGACTTAAGACACAGCTGGATCAAGCCCTGGCACTTTCTTTACAACTTCAGCATTTCCTCTTGCCGACTTCTCGTCTACTGTTCGCACTTCAAGGCTCGACCTAATGGGTATCTTATCCTGTATATTATTGTATTGTGGTGCAGTGAATGGAGCCATTATAATTATTATTATAATATAAATATTTAATAATTATCACTTCTTGGTCTTGAAAGAGGCAGGCCTCGGGTGAAAGAGGGCTGTGACGATCTTTATCTGGAACACGTAGGTGCGGGACCGGGACGTCCACCTCCCGAGGGTCGTGCGGCCCAAGCTCTGCTTCAGGAGGCTGGGGTCGTTCATACCCTTGATGGGGTGGTTCTTCTCCGGCCACGTTTACGGCGGTCTCCGGGGTTGGAGGTCCTTGTGGCCTTTTTCACCAACTTCAAGGGTGAAAAACCTAACCTACAGAACCTAACCTAACCTAACCCTGGAACTCTCGGTTCCTGCGACGGCGTTGGAACCAATCGTATTGGCGCATGTCTTTCCATTGAAGACTTTCAGCACCGTGGAGAGGGGGGGGGGGACCTGCTGCCTGGGTAATAGCTTCTCCCCCGAATCAACCTTCCATGGTTTTGCCCCCTGGTGAGGCAACGCCAAACCAGGCCGACACCAGAGTGCAACTCCATATTCTCCCGAGACTGATGGAAGCCTATTATTGTCGTGAAGTGAACGGAGCCAACTACGGATAGCTTGCCTCATCCTCCGGTCGATTCTCGCTAGCTCGGTATTGTACACCACGCCCAGAATAATACGGTGGTGTTTTTTCAGCACATATAACCTCGGAGGTTTGAGGGGGGCCTGCGTGATAATAAGACCCTCCTCAGTGAACTCTGCACTATGGGTCCATTAAAAAGAAATGGGAAACTTGGAAACATGTCAGATATAAAAGCAGAGAAATTGATGTAACGATGACCAGATTAAGGCTGGGACACACCAAACTAGCAGCACACAGCTCTAAGTACAGAACAGACATCAATGAACTCTGTACTCACTGTCAGGTGCCTGAAACAGTCGAACACTATCTCCTTCACTGCTTCCGACATCATAGTGCCAGAGTAAATTTCAAACAAGTCTTTATCGCACTTGAAATACCCTTCACCATCGAGCATATATTAGGTGGTGGTGATCGCTCGTTACATGAAAAATACCAAATAGTCAAAGCACTGGCTAAATATCTGCAGTCGACCAACAAATTGGGTCACATCTGACCCGCGCCACATTTATACCTGGCGCCACCAACAACTAAACACAGAAAACTGCCTCGTCGCAGCACCAAAAAAAGGATCAGCTGACGCCATAAACACAACACACCGCCCTACGGTGCGGCAAGTCTCCCTACAACACACACCTCTGTTTTAATCACCGTTCCTCTATCTACAGCACAACGCAACAAGCACCTTGGTAGCTCCGATCATCTTCAACATAAACGCGTCCAACAACATCAGTACTGGTGCAGTCATCAGGAGAACAAACCCTTCATGCAAACTGCACCTACTATCAACAAGAAGAAGAACCAATGATGCCCCTGCCACCGTCACCAACGAGAATACCAAGGTACTTGTACTCGTCAGTGATACAAATAGTCCATGGCTGCGCCCTCGACATGGAACCTCGTTTGCAAAGAGATACCATTTCTTGCATTTGCCATCAATCTGTAGGCTCGGTGATCGGCAGTTTCCTGCGTTGACCCTCAAGACAGCGCCACTCAATGTATCACAACATCTATCAATACCTGAAGGCCGGCCAGCGTCTCCGCCGCCACGACCAGCTCGTCTGCAAATGCTAGTACTGACACCTTTTACTCCCCCCAGACGAATCCCCAGGCCCAGTTTCTACGTATTGGCAACTACCTCATCAATCGCCAAATTGAAAAGAAAGACAAGGGACAATCCTTGTTTGACTCCCCTAGTCACAGGGATTACCTTAGATTTCTCCTTTTGACTGGTTAAGACTGTCGAGGCGCCATCCCTTAGGGATTATATTATGTCGGGCTATGATTTCCTTGCGCTCCATGGGCCGATCGATGGCTGCATGAGGGACGCTGTCGAAAGCCTTCTCAATGTCAAGGTGCACAGGATGTTTCAGCACTTGGACCTCAGCCAGAAGATCTAGGATCGCCAGGTTTTCAGCGCATCCATCCACAGGAATGAACGCCTTCTACCTCTCGTCGATCCTGATAGCTTGAGAAATTCGGCTGTTTACGATCTAATGAAACGGCCGCACTATCGTAGAAGACATCATAATGGGGCAATAGTGTGAGGTGGGGGGGGGGGGGGATAAATGTTTCCTGGCCTAAAAATCTTAGGAATCGGCACCATTTTACACGCCCGGTAAGGACGTGGCAGGGAGCGGCTAGCCAACCGCAGATAGAACATTTTAGCAACCCTGAGCAGTATGGACCAGAGGAGACGCGTGGTTATCCCGTCATGACTGCCACAGGTAACGGTAACTTAACCTGATCCTGGCAACCAATATAGCACAGTCTGGACGTTTTGTGCTGCCCATAAACATAGGTTTCAGATCTGAACAAATCAAAGTTTTTTATACTGGTGCTTTCAGGTCATTGGGAGTCGGGAATTTCTCCCCAATCAGATCAGTGTGTTTGGAACAATATAGTTTTGACGAGATGGGGATACCTAGGTCTAATTCAACATGATCTTGTTAAAAGCTAATTTGGCTGCAATGTCTGTCATTATTATAGGTTATATTTGTGTGATACCCATACCAAGGAGATTCGAAACCCTTTATTCTGCGCAGCAATTACTCAATTTATAATTCTTAGTATGTGGCTGAAAATGCGGACGCTAGTCTGCATTAGTTCTTAATTTTCATTTCAACATCTCCCAGACATCAACATCATCCAGGGAGCATCAAACCCACCAGGTGTTGCCCTGAAATAATAATTAATGATTTTTATTTAAAACCTGTAAAGAATATACAGGGGTTTAATAAGATTCAAAATACCTGAATAACTTTTGTGTAGATTAGTTTGAGCTGTAACTTCAAAAGGTAATATTTTTTTCAGTGTACTACTAATGGTGATGGTGATTGGGGTTGCCTAGGGTATGGGTGTTCCTCTTGACGAGCACGGAGCAAACAAGACGAAGGTAGAGTTGGAAAGGTTGCGGACAGACGTCCCCTTGGCTAGATCAGACTCCACAGTCGGCAACGTCGTCTACAGGTAAGCAGTTTTTTTAACTGTTCGGCTCTGAGAAACTCGTATTAAAGTTTGTTTCTAGGTTTAATTATAACCTAGTTTCCAAGTTAAATTATTTTAGAAATATCTGGTAAATACGCAGATTTTGTAACATTCCAAGCTAAGCTATTATATTAGGCAGTCAGCTTTAAATCTTGACTCCCGGCAGGATAATTAATGTAAATGAAGCAGAGCATCAATGCCTGCAATTTGTGGCTGGTCAGTACAGTATATTGAATAAGTTAAAGCATTAAAATCTTCCCTTGCTATAACAAGCAGATAAAAAAATTATATAAAGCAGAAGTTCTGAAAGATTGGAGACGAGGATCGCAAGTTATTGCGAAGCAATTTGTGCCAGTGATTGAAGCTTAAAATTTTCTGGTAATTTGATTATCAATGTACAGTCATTTAAAGTACTGACCGTCTACATGGGTACAAAAATTGTTGGTAGATTTTTAATTTGTTAAAATTTGATAATTTTCCTTAAAAATTTGTATAAATTTGCAATTTTATACCGTTGACCTTTGGTGGTCTATATTAGTGTAAGTGATGGAATCTTCATTCCATTTAGGCTGTGAAAGGCTTCAATTATGCTTTAGTTTGTCTGCCAACAATGTTTGTAGGAATGAATAAACTGCAGATGACATTAACGATGATTGCTAGAGCCTACTCTCTAATAGCTACTCAGAGCTGTTAGAGCCTACACAGTATTGTAGAAGAATAGGATTAAGGCATCGTAAAGGGTTGAGCAGAACCAAGCTTGTAATAGTACAACTTCATAGGCTATTTAATTGACGCACTCTGAAAAATTAGAACTTTGCTCTTTATTAAGAGTGGGTATAAATAGCTGTCTTTAAGATCAATAACGTTTCTGCAGTTTACTTTAAAAGTTTTTAATTACAAACTGAAATGCTACTTAAAGGGGTGAAATGGAACTAGTCACTCAAAGCACCTGAAATTTCGTAACTTATCAAAAACAAAAATTAAAGAATCCAATATTGTGGAATAGCCTCCCAATTGTGGTTTAATAAGCAAAACCTGGACCAACATACTAATGCAACCTAAGTGAATACATCCTAGCCTAACAATATATATATTTTTAAACTAAGGGGGAAACTAGCTTCGTCGAATCAGTCTTGTGTATGAAATAACACCCATACTTTTCCTTTACTACTACTACTAATAATAATTCATTGTCGGGACAGGAAGCCAGCGTGTTCATACGTTTTAAATTAAATGTTTATTCAGGAAAAAGTACATACATGTTACACTCATAATGTAGGATATATAGAAAAAGCTTGTGCATAAAATTCCTAAAGCTACTAATACGAATAGCGTTTCGGGCAAGAAATTTAGGCATGTTTTTCGGGCATGTTTTGACTTTATCGTGGTCACTTAAACATTGTCACTTGGATAGTTCACTTAAAGCTATGATGTCTAAAAGTAGTAGTCTACTTTGGCATTATCAAGAGTTCAAATTGTTAAATTTCTAGTTACGTTTGAGGAATAATATTTTGGTAACTTATCAAGTAATCTTTTTAGGTTTGGCCGAAATGCCGTACACTATTGGCAACTCTGTACAAATTTTTAATTTAACTACAAAATCATACACCCTATGTATAATGCACAGATTAGTGTGATCTAGATTCTAGACAACTGCAAAAGTGAAGTACGTTTGGATGTTTTACAATAAATCCCGCTCACCCTTTCCCAGGCTAAATGTGTTCCTATTGTTTACACACAGCCTTAAACTACTGCCATGCTCATATTTATCTTATAAAACAGTTCAAAGTGACTATCGTCCACACTTTTGATATAATTATTACCATTTTAGTGTAAGAACATTTTAAGCAATGTAGCTTTGCTGATGTTAATTTACTCATCCCCCTGATTGTTTTAGTGTGGCTGGCTTCCTACTCGGTGGTGTGTCCTTGTTCGATCCCACTAGAAAACCGGTCATAAAGTTCTTCGACCATGCCTTTGGTGAGAGATCAGTGAGGCGGCGGCGTGAAGATGGGACTGGCCTCGAGTCGCATGTTGCTGCGGCTTTTGACGCCTTCACTGCTGCTCTCGACAAGATGGAAGTGATTGCCAAGATGAATATGTGAATTATCTTTAATGGTTTTGTGAATGTTAGCACACTTGTACACTAGTCGTGTAAGAATAAAGGGATCATAAATTTTCCTTGTTAATAACCTAGAAAGTCTGTTTTCTTCATACTCTATTAGCAACTAAGTATAGTGGTGGTAAGTATTTCAATACAAAACTTGATTATTTGCTACATAAAGGTGCAAGTTTGTGGCCGCCTGGAGCTGCTGGGGATGGCTTGGGGCCCCTTCCCCCCCACCTCATGCCTGCTCTGGGTGTTGTACTTGTGAAGGAGATCAACCTAGGTTGTCATTTAGGATCATTGGACCACCAACTGGCAGGGTTTCCGGTGAGGGAGCTGCTTTCAGAGGAAGGTTTGAGTCTGGGATGGTGCAAGATGGAGAAGACTTTGAACCGGCGTGAGAGTGTACAATACCATAGGACTGTTTTAAAAGAGGAGCACTGATTGGGACAACGCCCTTAAGTGCATCGACAAGCATTTGCCGCCTTTGCAGGCCCGGTAAGTGGTATCCCTCGGCTCCTGCCTGAGCCGTGCAAAACTGGTAATGGGGCCAGGCTGGACAGGAAATGTGTGTACCTTTTTTAAACTATTTTTTTCTGTTCTATCTAATCTATATATGTATGCACTTTTACCTGAATAAAAGATGTTACAATGTTGGATTTTTAATGCTTGTACATACTATGCCTAAAAGAGACCAATATGCACAGTTTTGGGCAATGTGTGGGAAACAGACTAAAACTTAAAACGAAGAGATCAAAGCATAAATTGAATTGACAAAAAGAAAAAAATAGTAATAATGAATAGAACAAAAAATTTAAACAGCAAAAGTAATTTTAACTATAGACTACAATTTAATTAGTTTATACATGGCGGATATCGGCAGTTAAAAAAATTGGTCAATAATCAATATTGTTAGATAATAGTTTGACATTTAGGAGGTAAGGTAGGTTACATAGTTTATTAGGTAATACTTAATTTTTCTCTTCAATTTGACATGATTGCGAAAGTCATTCCACATTCTGGGTCCCAAGATTTGCAGAGCAGTTTTAGTGTAATTCGCACTCTTGGAATATCAAATAGGTATGTTTCTAGTGTGGTGCCCCCCCCCTCCCCCCTCTTTCCAGCCTGTTGTCATGAGGAGGCTTAGTGGGCGGCTGCCGAGCTGTGATGCTCAATCCTTTTGAAGCCTTGTGCTCCTGCTGCCGTCTTCACTAATTGTGCAGGTTGCTATTTCCTCTTAAGTTTCATTTTTCCTTCCCAACCTCCCCACCCCTCTTCTAATTCTTTCCCACCGAGTCGAAAGATTATTCTTTCGGACATCTATTTTTACGCCGGGTGGTCGGGGAGGCACTCGCCCATAGAACTGTGGTATCCATTGAGTTTTTTATTTATTATTATTATTATTATTATTATTTTCTACCAGACGTGGCCACACATTTACAATGCTAACTAGCAATGCTAACAGGTGAAGTGGGTCATTCAGTGAGGTGAAGTGGGTCATTCAGTGAGGTGAAGTGGGTCATTCAGTGAGGTGAAGTGGGTCATTCAGTGAGGTGAAGTGGGTCATTCAGTGAGGTGAAGTGGGTCATTCAGTGAGGTGAAGTGGGTCATTCAGTGAGGTGAAGTGGGTCATTTACAATGCTAGGTGAAGTGGGTCATAGCAAGGTGAAGTGGGTCAACAGTGAGGTGAAGTGGGTCATTCAGTGAGGTGAAGTGGGTCATTCAGTGAGGTGAAGTGGGTCATTCAGTGAGGTGAAGTGGGTCATTCAGTGAGGTGAAGTGGGTCATTCAGTCAGGTGAAGTCACAGTGAGAGGTTGTGTTAACCGGAGCTCCTGAGTGTTGTTATATTATCATAGCAATATGGAAGTTGTAGTGAAGGACCTGGTGACTCTAGTGGGAGCCCTGAGGACAGAGTTGGACTCTCTGCGGGAGGAGGTGCGTCAGCTGAAAGAACAAAGAGAAGTAACGAAGGAGGAGACCAGTAGTAAAGGGACCTCGTCTTGGAGAGTTGTGAAAGACAGGGGCCTTAAGAAGACTTTGATAAAGCCGCCTTCAAACGCCATAGCAACTTCTAATTCATTTAACGTTTTGGAGGACGAGTGCTGTGGTGAGACTGCGGATCGCGCAAAAGGAAAAGCAACGAAGAGCAAGGAAGCGCAGGCCCCTCGGAAAGTAAAGGAAGTACCTAAGCAAACCTTAGTTGTGGGAGATTCCCAGATAAGGTATTTGGATAGAGCGTTTTGTGCTAGAGATAGGGGGAACAGGTTAAGGGTTTGCTATCCCGGAGCTGGCATTGGTGATATTATAAACAACATGAATGATATTATGGCTGGTAATGGGAACAATCCCATTATTTGCATTAGCGTGGGAGGAAATGATGTTGGTCGAGTTAGGAGTGAGGAACTGATTCAGAGGTATAAAACAGCCATAGAATTAGTTAGGAGCAAGGGAGGAATCCCGATCATATGTGGCATTCTTCCAAGAAAGGGAGTGGGAAATGAATGGATATCGAGGGCACTAGGTGTCAATTGCCGGCTGGAAAGATATTGCAAATCAAATGCAATATCTTTCATAGACAACTGGGAACACTTCTATGGAAGAAATGAAATGTATGCTCGTGATGGGGTGCATCTATCGAGAGCTGGGGTTGTTGCTGTTGCGAACTCGTTGGAAGAAGTGGTTAGAGGTGTTTGTTTGGGTTTAAACTGTTAGTAGATAGAGGTATGGGAATTGATTTGGAGGAAGGAGGTAATAAAAGTATGTGTTTGTGGGAGAAAGGAATTGGCAAAACGATCAGGGAAAGAGAAGGGCCGCAAAATAACAATTCACTTAGGGTATATTACACTAACAGTAGAAGTCTAAGAAATAAAATTAACGAATTAAATGCTCTTGTCTGCACAGAAAAAATAGATATTATTGCACTTACCGAAACGTGGATGAATGTAGAAAATAGAGAACTATTAGCTGAATATCAAATATATGGATTTAAACTATTTCACACAGATAGATATATTAGACGAGGAGGGGGAGTAGCCATATATGTTAGGGACAATTTGAAATGTAGTCTCAAAGAGGGAATCAAAACAGAGCCACACACAGAAACTATTTGGATAGAATTAAACGAAAAAGCTAATAATATTATAATAGGAGTAATATATAGGCCACCAAATTTAGACAGAATGGAAGCAAAGCACCTATGGGATGAAATATCTAGAGCATCTAGATCTAACAGTATTTATGTCATGGGTGACTTTAATTTTAGCGGAATAAACTGGTTGAACAAAACAGGGAATAGTGAAGCAGAAGATTTTCTAGAATTAATTGACGATTGCTTTCTTACGCAACACATTAAGGAACCAACACGGGAAAATAATATTTTAGATTTAGTGTTAACTAACAGGGAAACGCAAATTAATGACATCGAAATAGGGAGTGAGCTAGGGAACAGTGATCACAAAGAAATCAGATTTAGCATAGAATGGAATAGACCAGTAGGAGAAAATTCTGTTAGTGCCAGATTTTCGAAAAGCTGATTTTAATAGCCTAAGAAATTTTTTGGGTCAAATTGATTGGAAAGTCTTGGGTATGGGGTGTGGGCCGGTCTTGGAGCGAGACATGAACCCAGCGATAGGTGACTTAAATGGGGATTTCGATGTGGATTCAATATATAACTTATTTAAGAATATTCTAAACAAAGCACAGGAACGTAGTATACCATACAAATTGAATAGATCGAATACTAATGACCCAAAGTGGATAACAAAGAATTTGAAGAACCTTGTAGGTAAAAAGAGAGCTTGGTACAAAAGGATTAAAAATGGGGAGGTCACTTTAGAACAGGAATTCGTACAACTGGTTAGAAATGTTAAAAAAGAGATAAGGAAAGCAAAAAGAAACTATGAAGTTCGCATAGCAGGGCAAGCAAAGACAAATCCTAAAGGGTTTTTTCAGTTATATCGTACTAAGACTAGGGAAAGGATAGGTCCATTAAAAACTGAGACAGGTCAAATAACAGATAGTGATGAAGAGATGAGTAGTATTTTTAATAAATATTTTGTATCTGTATTTAGTAAAGAGGAACTTAACAATATGCCTTCAGCCGAACAAGTCTGTGGGTGGGGACGAGGACAGGTTGACGAGTTTAGCAGTTACCAGGGAGGATGTTCTTAAACAAATAGTAAAACTCAAACCAAACAAATCCCCAGGGCTGGATGAAGTGTTTGCCAGGGTGCTTAAAGAATGCAAAGAGGAGCTTTGTGACCCACTGTCAACCATATTTAATAAATCAATAGTCAGGCAGAGTGCCAGAGTTTTGGAAAGTTGCTAATGTGATACCAGTTTTTAAGAAAGGAGATAGATCACTTGCGTCTAACTATCGACCAATTAGCCTAACGTCTATTGTGGGAAAGTTACTCGAATCTATAATAGCAAATAAAATTCGTCTTCATCTTGAAAAACATAAATTAATAATAGTCGCAACATGGTTTTATAAATGGCCGTTCATGTTTAACAAATTTGTTATCTTTTTATTCTAGCATTGTTGAGGCAGTTGATAGTGGTAAGGATTGCGATGTTGTATACCTTGACTTTAGCAAAGCTTTTGATACAGTGCCACATGAAAGACTGATTAAAAAGATAGTCTCATGGTATTGGGGGTGCTATATTAAGCTGGATTAGGGCATGGCTATACCAAAGGAAACAGAGTTAGTATAAATGGAATCAAGTCAGAGTGGGAAAATGTTGTAAGTGGAGTGCCTCAAGGCTCTGTCCTGGGACCTCTGTTGTTTATAATATATATAAATGATTTAGATTCAGGTTTGAGTAGCAACATTTGCAAATTTGCCGATGATACGAAAATCGGTAGGGAAATTAATTCGGAGGAGGACTCACTATCACTTCAAGTTGATCTAGATAGGGTTTTGAAATGGTCAAAGGATTGGCAGATGCAGTTTAATGCTGATAAATGTAAAGTTCTGAGGTTAGGTAATGATGATAGTTACAAGATACGAGCTAGATGGTGTTGAGATTGCGAAGTCGGATTGCGAAAGGGATCTGGGAGTTATGATTAG